TATTTATTTCGATTTGTAAATTTTATTTGTCAAGAAAATTTTTTTTTTTGCCAAAAATAAATAAATAATTCAAAATCCATATCTATATATATATTTTTACGATATTTTGTTTGTTGACGCAAAAACAAACGTACAAACGACGAGACACGTTTTTATTATGAACTCGAATTCAAACATTCAGACTCCAAACAAAAAAAAAAAAAAAAGAAAAATTTTTTTATGTAAGTGAACGTTAAAAAATAATATTAAAAATTTTAATTAGGAACATGGCTAAATAAAAATTAATTAATTTAAAAATTTAAATTGAATTTAAACTGAATGGGAAAAACTCATTTGGTGGCAAAATGATTTATTATTATTATTTTCATTTTCTAAATCCTCTCACTCACTCACTCACTCACTAGCCTTTTATTCTTTTTTTTTTTTATTATTTAAACGCGTAACAAATTTTTTTTTTTTTTCTTTATATGGAAGTATATAACGGAAATGATAACCTATCACAACAACAAACAACAAACAACAACAACGAAAACAAAAATAAAAAAAAAATTTTTTTTTCTTTCTTTTATTTAACCCTGGTTTATTGAAAATAAATCATCGTCCGCCATTTTGTTTGTAATTTTTGTTTTTTTTTATGGGATTTGTCCTCGAAAGAATAGTAATTATTTAAATCTTTTTTAAAATCCTCCATTATTTAAAAATTATTTTTTGAAAAATATCCGAAAGTATCCGTTACTTTTTGTTTTTTTTTTTTTTTTTGAAAAAAAAAATAATCGTGGAAATACTTTTTGTTGTTGTTGTTGTTGTTTTTTCTATTTCCACGACAAAACAAAAAAAAATTTTAATAAATTTAAATTTTATAAAAATTGTTTGTAACGATGTTATAAAAAATTACGTTAAATCGTACCGATTATTATTATTATTATTATTACCATTATTATTATTATTATTATTATTATTATTAATTATTAATTATTATTAATTATTATTATTATTACTATTATTATTATTATTATTATTATTATTAATTATTATTATTATTATTATTTTAAATTAGAATTTGACGAAAAAAAAGTTTCTTCTTCTTCTTTTAAATAACCGTCGAAAACGCCATCGATAATTTATTTATTTTAATTTCTTTTTTATTATTTATTTATTTATTTATTTATTAACTTATTGGCACAAATTTTATAAAAATTTAAATAAAAAAAAATATCCGTGACTAAAAAATTTAATAAAATAAATAAAAAAAAAAAAAAACCGAATTATTATTATTATTATTATTATTATTATTTTTGTTTGTTTGTTTCGATTGTGTCATACATTTAATCTAATTCTAATAACCTGTTTTGATTTTAAATCACAAATAAAATTTAAAAAAAAAAAAAAAGAAATCGTAAGAACGATAACGTAGCAGAAGACAATTTATTTATTATTTGATTGAGAAATAATAAATATTAATTTATTCGAATTAAGAATAATAATTGTTTTTGCAACAGTTTTTTTAAAAAAAAAAATAGTTATAAAACGAAAATTATATTACTTTTATCGAATATATATATATATATATATATATATATGAGTCGTTAACGTTTTTGTAATAATAATATCGATAAAAATAATATAAAAAATATTTAAAAAAAAAAAAAACTTACCATTTCCGGTGATCTCACACGCCGCCATTAAAGATTTCATTCGTTAATTATTCGGTTAACAAACCAAATTTTTGATTCTTCAACCTGTAAAAAAAAAAAAAAAAAAATAAATAATTAATTAAAATTTACATCATTTATTAAAACTTATTGTTTGTTGTCTTATGTATATTAAAAAAAAAAATAAATAAAATGAAAATTTAATGGATTATCGATAAAGGAGACATTTTTAACTTTCCATTAATATGTAAAAAAAATGCATGAAAAAATTTTTTTATTACAAAAACATGGTCGTCGCCATAAAAAAGAATCATACATAATATTTTCATTAGAATGAAAAAAAAATTAATAGTGTTTAATAACGATATATCGAAAGTGATGATGATGATGATGATGATAATAAAACAATAATTTTTTTTTTACGTATGGCAAATTTTATATGAAAATATCGCGTCGGAGGAAACGGAAATGCACGCAACAATTATTAATTTATTAATGACATAACGCGATGATGGCAAATTCGATGTTATCAAAATTCAGGTATTTATAATAAATCCGTATTATTATTATTATTATTATTGTGGTGGAAAGGAAAAAGAAAAAATATAAACGAGTGGGAGAATATTATAAAATAAAATGAAATAAGAAGTGGGGATCCATTTTGAATTGTTCTTTAGTGCGAAACGTTATCCATACACACACAAACACACACACGGGAGAGGAATTTAAAATGAATATATTTGTCTCATTGGTAAGTCGATTTAATTAAATATTTTATAACATTTTTAAAATAGAAACCCCCCTTCTCCCCTCCCCCCAATAAAAAAAAAGGGAAAACTATTATTATTATCATCATCATTTAAAAAAATTTAATTCGTCATGTCGGTTAGTCAGGTATGCAAGAGTTAATTAAACAAAAAAAAAAAAAAATGTGTTTCACCACTTAAAAAAAAAAAAAAATTATTGATTCGATGATAATGTTAATGATGATGATGATAATGTTAATGATGATGATAATGATGATGATGATGATGAGAGTTAAAAAATTAATAATGAAAGGGGTTTTAAATTACTTATAAAAAGGAAAAATAAGTTTGCATTTTTTTTTTTTTTTAATTATTAGAAAGTAAAATTCTTTTACACTTTTAAAAAATATGAGTTTCGGTCATGCTCCCAATCGGAAAACTATCAATAATTAAATTTTTTTTTTTTTTTGTAACGCCATTTTTTTTTTGATTTACCATTAAGATTAACAATCGTAAAAAAAAAAAAAAAAAAAAAAATTAGAAATTTTTCCAATCCTGATAATAAAAAATAGTGAATGAAATGACCCAACATTGACGTAAGGAAAACGTTATTTATTATTATTATTATTATTTAAAAATAAAAAAAAATTATTAATGCATAAGATCCGGTAGTTTTAATAATAATAATAATAACACACACTCACTCACTCAATATTAGTAATTTAAAAATGATTTGTATCGCCTTTGAAAAAGTTAGAAAGCTGAGTAATGATCAACCTTGAGGGGGTAACATACCCACCGTACCTGAATTCAAATAATTAATTATCTTTCGGAAATAAGGTAAACGAAAACGTCAAATTTTTTTAGCAAAAATTTCCACTATGGAGGAAAGTAATGGCGGTTATTAAAAAATTACAAAAAAATTTTTTTTTTTTTGTGTGTTATGAATTCCATAAAACCGTGTCAGAGCATAGTCATCATTTCGAATTACTTTTCCACGTTTGAAAACAAAACAAAAAAAAAAAAAAATGAAAAAAAAGTGACATTTAAGTAGGCATTAACTAAAAAAAATTTTATTAATAATGATAATAATATAAATAAAAAATATTTTTTTTTTGTTTATATTTCTATAAAGTTTTAAAGGATTAAAATTATTTAATGATGACCGAATTTGGTTTTTTTTTTTTTTAAAAATTTGCCTTTAAGGCTGATCTAAATTTTTTCATATTGGAAACCTAAAAAACCGCCGAATAAAAAAAAAAAAAATTTATCAATTATATTTATATATATATATTCATTATTGCATAATAAAATATACGTTTTTTTTCTACGAATTTGTCAACATTTAAATTTAAATTTTCACAACGTAACAAAAAAAAAAAAAATTCGTTTTCTTTTATAAAAACATTCGAATCGGTTGTTAATTTAATTCTTTTTTAACGGTCATTATTTATTCAAAATTTCACTTATTAATTCATTCCACCGCCATATTTCTATGAAAATAATAAATTTATTTAGTTTGCTTCTATAGGTTTGTGTTTTTTTTATTTAAATAATATTAAATAACTTCCGTCTGGTTTTCTTTTTTTAACACGATAGAAAATTACGCATGTTTAATTTCAATAAAAAAGTAAAAAAAAAAAACATTTTGTAAATTTTTTTTTTTTTTTTCCATCGTCACATTACAAAAACGGTTAATCTTTTGAATAATCACAACAATAAAGAAAAGAAAAAATAAGAAAACATTTTTTTATTAAATAATGATGATGATGATGATGATGATGATGATGATGATGATGATGATGATGATAATATAATTATAATAATATTACCTGTTCGTATTTAATAATAAAAGTAAAATTAAAAGATTATTAATAACAAACACTAATGTAATTTCACGACGCCGCCATAATTCGTTAATTACGAGATTTGCATAAACAAAAATTCACCGCCTTGTTGAACTGTGACATCTGTCGAAAGATTAAAAAACGCGCAATTTTTCTTTTTCTTTTTCTAATTAATGTCTTCATTTGTTTAAGTCGTTAACTTTCAATAACGTGAACGGTGGAAAAAAAATAATAATAAATTAGATATGCACGTTTTTTTTAAAGTTAAAAAAAAAATATATCCACGTATAATTTTGTTCTATTACGTTTTTCGAAATTAAAAAATTTGAAGGTTAATTTTAGCCTTATGGTTTTTTTTTTTTAAACTTTCCGTTACGTAACACGTAGCAGACGATACTTTATCGTCCCTTTAGCATTTTACATAAAGAAATGATTAGGGGCGGTAATCGTATTTGTAAATCGCATTAATTTTCTTTCTTTCTCTCTCTCTCTCTCTCTCTTTCTCTCTCTCTCTCTCTCTCTCTTTCTTTCAACAACGAATGTGAATTATAAAATTGCGTGAAAGGATTTCTTTTTGTGCAAGAAGAAGTATTTTGTGGTGAAAACGTCAAACGTTCACGAAGGAAAGTTAATTTTAAAGTGAAAATGTCAAATGAATACGAAAAACAAAAGCAGAAGACAATACCAAGTCACGTGATTGTTGTTTTGTTTTTAATTAAAAAAAAAAACATTTTATCAAATAATACATTTACTACTCGTATATTTCCATCTAATTTTTTTTTTTTTTTTTTTTTTTTGAAAAGTAAAATTAATTTCTTCCTTCAAATTTAGTATGTCAAAGTTATAACATAAAAAGTCGTTAAAATCAAAAAAAAAAAAAATTAACGGGCTTAATTATTAATTAAAAGGAAAATTATAAAATTTACCTTCATTTTAATTTTTTTATATGTAAAGTTTTAATAAAGTTGTTACGCCTTCAAATGTCATATTTATTTAGTTACGCAAGGTTTTTTTTTTTTTTTTTTTTTTAAGCCTCCAAAATAGAATAAAAGAAAAAAATAAATAAAAAAAAAATAGAAAGCAATAACAAAAGAATTTTTAACTAAATAAAATTTTTTTTCATTCTCGTTTAAAATTCAATTGAAATGATTATTATTATTATTATTATTTAACTATACGAATAATTAAATGATATCGAAATCCTTTTATTAATAAAAATATCGTTTCGATTTTTAAATTCATTGGTTAGAAACAACAATAATAATTATTGTTTTTTTTCTTCTTTTTTCTAGAAATTTCTTCCGTTATCGTAAAAAAAGTAAACAAAGATTTTACGTATCTGAATCATAATAAAAAAAAAAAAATTATTGGAAATTTTTTCGCAAGAGTTTATTATTATTATTATTATTATTATTATTATTCGGTGGTTGAATAGTAACTAAAATGGAAAAAAACCTAACCAACTTTTGTGGACAGAAAAAATTATTATTATTTTTTTTTTTAGGTTACTATATTATTATTATTATTATTATCAATAATAATACAATTATTTTGGATTTAATTATGAGAAACAACAAAAGTTTTTCTTTCTTTTTTGTTTATGAATTATTATAATTTTCATATCAAAAAAAAAAAAAAAAAAAAAAAAAAAATTGAAAAGTTGAATTTATATACAAGGAAATGTAATTAAAATATTTTTTTTTTATTTTAAAAGAAATAAAATTATCCACCGTTACCCCCTCCCTCCCCCCCCCCAAAAAAAAATTAAACCGTATGAAAAATTTTTAAATTAGACTAATTAATAATTATTATTATTAATTCATACTTAACTTATTATTACTCTAAATGTTAAGTAATTTTTATAGAAATTTTTTTTTTTTTTAATTGTAATCAATTTAAAAATGGTTGAAAGTTTCACTGATTTGTTATTCGAAAGAGAAATATATGAAAAAACTATTTAACGGTTGAACAAACAAATTAATTAATTTTATATAATTCAATTAAATTTAATCATATTCAAATTTTTTTTTTACTTATTATTAGTAATTAATTCTTTTTGCGGTCTGATTACGACGCCATTTTAAAATTATTATTATTAAGTTATTAAAACGATAGAAAAAATTTAAAACTTTTTTTTTTTGTTTTATTTCACAAGAATTTCCACAGAAAGTTTTTGATATATAGTCAACGGTCAATAAAATTGTCTTTACCAAGAGTTTGAAAATATTATCTGGGTAATAACCCAGTTTAAAAAAAAAAAAAATTGTCTACTGCTACTACTATCTCTAACTTCATTGCTATCATAACTATCATTTAAATCCAAATTATTATTATTATTATTATTATTATTATTATTATTTAGGTTAACAAAAATTAAAATTTTTCTTATGCTTCCATTGATAAATTTATACTAAGAAAATATTATTTTTTTTATGACGATGATATTTAAAAACATAAGAAACAAAGGTTCATCCTTTTCATTATTATTATTATTATTATTATTATTATTATTGGTACTTCCTGGGCGTTTGAAAATATATATTCAATGCATTTAATAATTTTTTTTATTATTATTATTGTATTGTTTGTGAATGCCAAGGTAATGTTTAATATTGATACACCATTACTTATGCTAGTTAATAAAAAATCAAAGTTATTGTTAATAATTTATTAATTTTTATTTAATTTTATGTTAAAAAAACTTATTAAAGAATTTTCCAAATAAAGGGATTAATAAACAATAGAAAACCAATTTGCAAGGCAGTTTAGTTTGATTAATAATAATAATAATAATAGATTTTGACAATTTGTTGTTTTGTATTTGTGAAAAAGAGTGACTTATACCTGTAGACACACCTTTTTTGTGTGTGTGTGTGAGAGAGAGAGAGAGAGAGAGAGAACAAAATGTCTTGTAAAAAAATTAACATAAGAGGGTGGAATAAAAAATAAAAAAAATTATTTAAAAAAACTTTTCCATGTGAAAAAAGTTATGAAAAAAAAAACCATTTCTCGGTTATTAAAATTGGTTATGGTCAAGGCAATCGGCCGTAAATAAAAAAAAAAAAAAAAAAAATTTTGAATGAATATGTAGGTGCGGAACGCGTAGTTTAAAAGTAGATAATAATAATAATAATAAAAATATTAGGACAGAAGAAAGAGAAACACTTTCCCTTGTTTTTAAATAATAATAATAATAATAATAATAATAAATAAAATTTTTATACCTTTTTTTTTTTTTTTTATTCAAGGCGATACGCAAACGTTCACAAGTGGACAAGTTTTTTTTTTTTTTTTTTTTTTTGAGTAAAATTAATTAAAAAAATTTTTTTAAATTTAATTAATAACAGTTAGAGTTTAAAAATTTATTAGTTCATTCAACTTTATCTATAGTTGACTCAATTTAAAAAAAAAAAAAAAAAAAACAAGAAAGTGAAGGTAATTAAAAAAAACAAATTGATATTAGTGTACCTACAATACCTACAAAACCAGAGTACCTACAATTTATTGTTAAAAAAAAAAAAAAAATGAAAATTTTATTAATGTTTTTATAGGTATTAGTTGGATTAATCACATGTATTTACGGACAACAATATGGACCAGTACCACCAAGACCACAACAGTTTGCCGGTGCGAATTTGATTCAATCATCAAGACCAAATACAAGGCAAAGATTTAGCATACCCCGAGTCGTGCCAGAAGGTATACAATCTGTTGAACAAGCTCAATTATCTCGTACGAGAAGGCCACAGCCTTTTAGAACCGGAAATACTTTTGTGCCACAACAAAAACAAATTTTAGACCATCCAAAGGCTAATTTGTTAGACGATGGACCACTTCCTATTCAATATTTAAATCCGGTACCAACTCAACTTCCTCAATTTCAACAGTTGACTCCCCGAACTTTAACACCGCGACCAGTACAAGAAGAAATTAATGAAGGTTAGAATTTAAAAAAAAAAAAAAAAAAAAAAAAAAATGTCTCATGATCTATAATTTTTGTAATGAAAATATAATTTTAATAGAAGACCTTCGGACGACGGCTGGAAACACACCCAGCACGACGACTTTTACCTCCTCACAAAAGACAAGTTTTTCACCAACTTCTGCTCCTGTAACATTACCACAAGCACAGGTACCAGCGGGATTTCAAAAACCACAATACATTCAACCTAGTGCTTTTAGATCGTCATCACCTTCACAAAATGCTGAATCAATACAAGTGCCAGAAATAAATCTTCAAGGAAGACATCTTACAAGACCACCGGTAATTTTTTTGTTTAAATAAATGTTTATAATAAAAAGAGATGTAAAATTGATGAGTTACCAATAAAAGAAACTCGACTATCCTTGAAAACGGTCTGATTTTAACAAAGAGACGAGGATCGTAACATTCATAACAACTTTTTTATTTGTTTTCAGGTCCGACCAGTTCAGCAATCACCACTGACCATAAATCGAGCTCCATCGTTACCAATAGTACCTGCTCCTGCCGTTCCAGTTTCTTTTCAACAAGTTCCCGAAGATGAATATTTTAGGCAAGTTCAAGGTAGGCCATTAAAAAAACAAGAACCAGTAAGACAGCAGGTAGTTGATAGAGAGCAAATCAGGCAATACGTTCCAAAACAACAACAAGATAATGTTCGACTCCAAACTCCATATCTGAGACCCATACAGAGAGAACCTCACGTGAAAGCTCCACAAAGAGAAAGGAAACCCGTCGCCCAGACAATCAGGAAATATCATGAAGAAAATGAAGACGGAAGCATAACTTGGGGTTACGAAAATGACGATGGATCTTTTAAAGAAGAAACAATCGGAGTTGATTGCGTAACACGAGGAAAATATGGTTATTACGATCCGGATGGTGTCAAGAGAGAATACACATATCAAACTGGCATTCCATGCGTCAAAGAACAAGAAAATGAAGAAGCCGAATCAAATCATGGATACATTGATTACACAAACAATAAATACGTTTTACCAAATGGAGACGAAATCGATTTAGAAGCCATGGTCAAAAACAGAGCGCGAAAACCAGTTTCCAAATATAGAATAACATCTTAAAAAAAAAAACGTAAATTCGCTTTCAAAGCGATTAAACTTATAATAACCTAATAATTTTAAATTGACACTTCTTCGTGTTCCCTTTAAAAGTCCGTAAGCATAAATTATTCCCTTATTTCAATAATGTTGTCCCACGTGTACATAAAAATAAATTTTCAATTGTAATATAAATGACTTAAAAAAAAAATAATAAAATTAAATCTTATAAGATTGAAACAACTAATTTAAATAAATAAATTCTATATGTGTAAATAATAACTATTGAAGTGAAAATTTATGCAAATTACGGCAATAAATTTTTTTATTTATTACATTTTAAAATTACTTTTACAAAATCTGATAATTCAGCTTTGTTTTCCTTTTTTTTTTTTTTGTATTTTTTACTGATGTAACGCTTATATGGTAAAAAAAAACTGTTGTCACACATTTGTTAAAAATAAAATTATTTAAAATAAAAATATCAAGTATTAACTTAAATATTTAAGATTAAAAAGTTCATTATTTAGTTAATTAAATAATCGGAAATTCATCACACTTAATATTTTAAATGCAATTGGGAAAATTGACGATATATAATTATTGGTTTTTTTGTTCAAAGAAAGAATGTTAAAGTCAATATTGCCTAGGTCTTCTCATTGGTCCCATTCTATCATCCCTATAACCACCAAATCGATCCATGGGCCCAAGTCTCATTCCAGGCCTTTGTGCCAAATGAGGGGGTGTTATTGATATATCTAAATAATCGCCAATAATGAAACGAACTTGCCCAAGAGTTTTACTATCATCTGCTCCTCTTTGACCTGAGCAGGTTGTACCAATTTCTCTCATTCTGTATCCAGGCGCATGAATATTCGGGGTAACCAAAGAAAAATCGAAAAATGTTCCTTTCCTTCTCGCATCTGGATTAACTTCTTTTACCAAACTTGTTAATTCTCTTAAAGTGGCATCCATCCTAAAAAAAATTTTTTTTAAATAATAAAATGAAACGATGAAATCGATAAACTTTATGCAATACACATTAGACTTGATAACAAAAAATAATAATAAATATTTTATTATTAGTAATTTAATGAATAAGTAATTTAATTAAAATAAAAAAAATAATAAATTTACATTACCATGTGTATATTTGTAGCTCATTTGTTGGAACAATTCCTCTTCCATATTCAGAAATGTTGTGATGTCTGCCTGTACAACAAAACACTCTTAAGAGTAAAGGGCATGTCTGAAACAAAAAAAATACAATGAATGAAAAATATTTTAAATTTAAACAAATTTATTGCTCAATATAATTATATTAAAAATAAAACCTGATAATAAAAATAAAAATATTAATGTACACTGGGCCCCCCCCCCCTAATATTCTTTACAAACATTCGAATAACAAAAATATATACCGGCATAAATTGTCAATAAATAAATAAATAATCTTACTTTTTCACGATCTACAGGTTTTTCCGAGTCTGCTTTTCCCTCTACAACAACCATAGAACCGACAACATCAGAAGACATTTTTATCATTTGGATTTAATAAATTATTCCTTTACAAATTAAGATACAAATATCTAAAAACGCTCAAAAATTTTATTAGATTTACAGGGTAGCCAACTTTAAAAATAAGTATTTATAACAAAGTTTACACCTGCGTTTTCTGCTTTTAAAATGTCAAAGGTGGTGATTGAGGCTGTGTCGTTTTAAACCTAAAGAAAAATATTTATATATTTTTAATTTATCTATCCAAATTTAAAAAAAAAAAAAAAAAAAATTGTTTCTTTTTGTAAATTATTATTTATGTAAAATGAAATGTAATCTTTAAATTTTTTTAAAGCAGGAATCGGAGAGTTTCCCTTTTTGAAGATTTTTTTTTTTTTTTTGGTAATTTTGCCGATACACGTTTTAAATGAATCAAAAGGTGTTATAAAATTATTAAATATAAACTAAAAAAAGTGAGAAAAAAAAAAAAGAAATATTTAAAATGTCAGATCAACTAATGGAATCTGACAAATTATTTCACAATGATTCGAATGATATTATTATAAATGCTGTTGATGGTTTACCAAATGTTCATCCTAATTACAACGAATTTGAGCTTGAAAGAAATGATGTCAAAACATCTGAAGATTCTCGATCGTTAGACGAACTTATTCACGATGAAGATTTGCCCACTTCTTTAATTGTTACTAACATAGATAGTTCAGTTTTTCACAGTGAAGAAGCCAAGGTATAACAAATCAATCATCAATAAATAAATAAATTAATTTTTTATACTGTCACTTGAAAACCATCCATTAATATTATGAATAAATGCTAATTCAACTTTGAAATTTTTAGAAAAAAATACAGGTATTATTTTCTCAATTTGGGGAACCAGAATCTATTCAGTTTTTTCGAAGTTTTAGGAGAATGAGGGTCAATTATAAGTGTCCCTCAGCAGCAGCTAAAGCCAGAATTCAGCTTCATCAAGCTAATTTTGGAAAAAAGAAAATTAATTGTTATTTTGCTCAGGTATGAAAATTAATTTTAATAAAGGTACATTTTATAATTAATAATAATAATAATGATAATATTAATAATAAAATGATAACTTTTTCTAGCCTGTTTCTCCAATCGACTTGGAGGATCAACATTTACATCCACCAGCACTCACCAAACAGTTCCTTATTTCTCCTCCTGCTTCACCTCCTGTCGGATGGGAACCCAAAGAGGAAAGTGAACCTCTTGTAAATTATGATTTGCTTGCTGCCATTGCAAATCTCACTCCTGGAGAAGCTCATGAAATACATCCACCTCAAGGCGGACAACCTGGTATTGTTGTTCATGTTTGCGAAGAGCCTTCAACTGCTGTAAAGTCAAGGATTATTCATACCAGGTGCCCTCAGCAAAATTAATTTTTTGTATATGTGTATTTTTTCTTTTTATTAATAATTCTATATTTTAATGATGTAAAAAAGAATTTTAATGTCGCTCTAAATCTTAGTACCTGGATTTTAAAAACTTTCTGATAATTAGATCTGCACCAAAAAAGTGTTTAATATTACAAAACTTTATTTATTTATTTATTTTTTTTTTGTTTAGAAACTAACTAATACTGTTCTTATTAAGTGATTATTATTATTTTAAATGAATATAATACTTAAAAAAATGTCAGTAGAAATGAATAATATTCCCCTTTTTACGTTGGTCTCTCACTTAATACTTTAGAATTAACAGAAACGATGATCGTTTTAGTACCGACAATAAAGCGAAGATTTCTCGGGTCAGTCGGAGAAAAACTGATTGTTTCGTTGAGGAAAAACAACAAACCAGAAACAGGAAAACCCAGGAAGTGTACGGTCACACAGATGAACCATTTCTATTATTATTAGCACCACTAAGATCTCTTCCTACACCAATAAATGAGTGGATAAATGATCCATTTTGACGTGTGGCAGAAATGGTTGAAGGCGAAAGTTTATTGTGTGACTATCCGGTCCGAAATTTGTATCTTTAGTCGAAGAGGAGTATCAGGGAGTATAAGGGTGCTTTGCTCGACGAAAAGAATGGTTTACTGAACCTGTATGGCCGAAATATAATAGAAGTAATCAAATTAAAAAACATCCATGTACCAGTAGGTACCAAGGTGTACTTAATTGGGATGGGTGATTTTGAAGACGTCACAGGATGATCATGCACAAACCGAACAAATTCGGCCATTTTAATAAAATTGATTTGCAGACACATATTTATTATGAATCTTTGCGAGGATCAGTGTACTGCATACAACGCGTATTAGAGGATTGCAAATATACGTAGGACCACACTCATCCAATTTGGGATATTCCTTCGTTGAGACCATTAGAACGAGCAGCAAGTGTTGGCGGAAAGTAGAAAGCGACCGTTGAGGGTCAACAAGAGATTTTGCCTGAAGAAGAAAAAGACACAGGCGACACAGCCTCTTTCACCTGCATCAGCTGAGAAGAAGAATAGACCTACCGTCAACTTGTTGGGTTGAAGTTCTGCCCAACTTCTAGATCGTCTTTGGTCAAGTGCCAAAAACTTATTCCGACTTAAATTTTACAATCCCTTTATATTGTTTCCATCGTGATTTCGTGTTAGGAAAGATCCGCGAAATTAGGGGGCACCCTCTTCGTCTTATGCCGGTTCAATAGTGCAACAAGTTATTTGGAAGCCTGATTACTTTGACGTAAATCCGTTCCGACGGTAGGAAGAACAACGTCTATAACAAAACTGCCAAATAAATTGGTAGGCGTGGTCATAATCCATAAGATAAGGCCGACCCCTGGGCGTGTTACAATACAACAATAACTAGAAGGACGTGCCGAAGACGTGGATGATCACGAACGGAAATCCTTTGATATGCGAAGGTTTGAATAACCTCTTTGGATATTAGTCCAGAGTCTTGTAGGAATGGTTTATTGACCAACAAATTTTTCAAACAAACCTATAAAGAAAAAAAAAATATTAGTAATTAGATAATTTTTAGCGGCAAAAAAAATACAAAATGAATACCCCTCCCTCCCTCCCCCCCCCGAAAAAAAAAATAATTGAGTATCTGAAACAAAAAAAAAAAAGCTTTAAGGTTAAATTAAATATATTTTTTTAAAATAATTTAGTGAAAAACAAGATTAAAATTATGCGATTTAAGAGGTATGATATTTACTTTTTTTTTTTTTTTTCACAGTTTGAAAAACCGTTGTGAAACCAAATAAAAAAAAAAAAAAAAAATTAGCAAAAATAATAATTGTCATTATTTTTAAAATTTAATTTAATTTAAATAAATAAAACTAAATAAAATTTAATTTTTTGTTATCATTATTATTATTATTATTTCCTGTTTTTTTTTTTCCCCCATTAATTCCTGTTTTAATCGATGAAATTCTTAATACATGTAGAAATTTATTAATAATAATAATAATATCATTTAAAAAAAAAAAATTTATAACAATTTATTAGGAATTGATAATATGAGGATATTAATTAAAACAATATTACTACTAATATTTTCACATAATTTATTATTATTATTATTATTATTCGATTTGTACCAGACTTAACGGGTATATTTAATCAATTTTTTTCTTATGGTAACCTTCTATATTACTTTATTTCAATTACCTGGATAAAATCAATGAGCAAAAATCTCGACGACGCTGCAAATATATTTATATATATATATATATATATTAACAATATAATTAAACAACCAAATTGATTTAAAAAAAAAAAAAAATTTGATTAACAATACTGATATTTAAAAGCATTTACAGATATTTTTAAATAGAAAGTAAAAAATAATAATAATAATAATAAATAATCAGCTGATTGAAAAGTCAATATAAAAAAAAAAAAAAAATTGTTACACACGCACACACACACATCTTTCCACAGTGCTCGATGCAAACTAAATGCAAAAGCAATGTAAACAGATTCCTCCTCTTATTTCTCATTAATAATAATAATAATAATAATAATAATAAATATTAAGCAATGTAAATAAACGTGTTTATGTCATCTTCGTCTCTTTTCATGTATTTATGCTCAATCAACCATTCAATTTGTTCTTTTATCATTTTTTTACTAGGTAAAAACATATTTTTCAATATGTCAACTAATTCCGCTTGCAATTGGGCATTGTTTATTTTTTTACGCATTTTGAGTATTTTTATAATAGCTTCCTGCCAAAAACAAAAATTAAAATAATAATAATAATAATAATAAAAATATATTTCAATGTATTTTGTTATTTAAAAAAAAAAAAAAAAAACTACTCACTTGAACTCTGAGAATTCTCAATTGAACTATGCTTTCATTTTCTTCTTCTTTACTCCTCTCCGTTGATAATTGTAATCTTCCAATTAAATTTATTTTTCCACGTTTTTGAATTTTTCCATTTTTCCTGTGGGGAAAAAAAAAAAAGAAAGTATATGTTAATAACAAACTTATAAATAATATAAATGATGATAATTTTAATTTTTTTCCTTACACTAATGCAAAATCTTGATTGACCCAAAACAATGTGTTTTCATCGAAATCTTTTGGAGATTGAACTTCTGGAGAATATAAAAGAACTTGCTTTTTCAATTTTGGAAATGCCACCAAGGACTGAAAGAAAACGCAGGAACAATATTTACAAGACAAGTTTTTTTTTTCCTTCTTGTAAAACAATGATCACATTTAAATCTTACCCACAAAGTCCTTCTTAGTTCCATATCAGGCAATTCCGTGGCCAACCTTAAATTTTCATATGATATTTTATCGAACTGCCTTTGATTCCAAGCAAAAAGAACGGCCATTTGAAACGTCGTCACGTCAACATCGAATCGTCCAACAGCGTTGGAAAAAGTTATCTGTCAATACATATAATAAATCATTATAAAATTTATAATTTTTCATTTTCATTTTTCAAAAATTCAATTTTATGTTTGTTTTTATACTGACTGTGCCATTAGACATATGATGGTACCACTGTAATTTTCTTCCGCTGTGTTTTTTCTTATAAAAATCTTCTACTTCAGGAATATAATCTTCTAATTCAAGAGGTAATGAAACAGTGACTCTTTCGCTTCCTCTGGCCCAAGCTCCAGCATTAAGAATTTTAATACTAATGGAATCTAAAAAAAAAAAAAAAAAATCAATTTTACTTCGAAATGAAATTTGTTTTTTCTCGTTTAAAAAAAAAATAAATGAAAAAGTTTACCTGCTATATTTCCTTTACAACTTCTATATTGTTCTTTGAATTGTTGATTTAAATCTTCGCTTACTTTTATATCTTGAAACATTCTTCCCAATTTATTTACATAATCTGCTGGCATACCAACTTCTCTCAACCATTCGACCATATTTTCTTCCTTTTCGGAGTCTGCAGATGTATCAAGGATGAGTCGCCTAGTTAAATGTGCTTTATGGTATCTCATGAACACATCTTTATTTTGAATATATTTTAACACTAACAAAACATCTTTGAGTTTGCTTTCTATTTCATCCGATGTTAACTTTTTACTAAGTGGAGTTTTTCTTAATAACATATCACAGTAGTTCGCGAGTAATTCCGGGCACTTTGACTCCGGCTGAGATTTTACACCTGAATTTTGTTTCACTGGCAATTCTAATCGAAAAACTGACGTATCATTAACAACATGTTTATAAGCTTTGTCTCTAGCAGTCAAAAATCGCGGATCATCATTAAATGCTTCTTTAACCAATGTGCTAAATTGATTAAAAAGCTTAAGTAACCTTTCAACATATTTTTCAGAGTCTTGTGTGATTATGTCGGCCGATGCAAGCATGTCTGCGAGTCCTGCACTCACAATGTGATCTTCTAAATCTTTTAACATTGGCAATATTCCATCTTGAACCCTATCCATTAATTTGAACATTAGCTGCAATTTTTCAGTTTCATTGTTTTTGATCATTCCAGCACATTCTGCTAATATTGTGGCTTTGAAAGCAGATACTAAAGCATTTACACAGCAAGCATTAATCTATCAATTAAAAAAATACTCATTAGTATAACATAAAAATTATATAGATATTTCAATAAAAATAATTCATTTGATTACAACAAAATTTCAAAATTTATTTAAAATAATAAAAGAATTTAAATAAATACTTACTACTTCGACAGAACTGCTTGAACTAGATGATTCTAAATATTTTTGGGCTCTTTGTTCTTCTTCCCTTAATTTAGCATCTGCATATTTCATATAATTTTGAACTCCATTTGCTTCCAAATATTGAGGAGCTTTCATTTTATAAAAAACTAAAGTTGCATGAAGATAAGCTAATTCAAAATTTTCTCTATAAATTTGTAATTTATCATCTGGATTTGAACATAAGTTAACATAAGATTCTCTGACTCCAATCACAAGCTGAGAATCAAAAGCTTCACCATTCCTTTCGGCATGAACTAATTTCATTGCAGAATCTTGAAGTCTTTGTTTTATATCACAGAATATACTCTGATTCCAACTATCTAACATTAATTTTCTAACTATACTTTCTTCAGTAGTGGGTTTTTTAGCAACTGGCATTACTTTTGCACCTAACGAAGTTTCCAATTGTCTAAAAGGAGTTGGTAAATAGTTACACTGGGTAAAAAATTTACGCCACTCAGCAATGTAAGCTTTTAGTAACGCTTGGTCTTCTTCATGAGCTAAAACCCTTTGCTGAGCTTGTTTAATGAAATTCATTATATCATCTTTTAATGCATCCCTAACTTTTGGAGGCCCCTTATCATCCCATAAGCAGGTAAGATGAACAGAATAAAATAAGTCTTGCCATTCTTTTTGTGTTACTGGCTCTTGTTGTAATAGTTTTAAAATGATTGGCCTCATTCCCGGCCATTTGTCTTCAAAAGAAAGTTGTGCTTTGTCCTGCAACATAATGCTACTGTCAAATTAATGTAAGAATAATGAGAAAACTTTTTTTAAACAAATTCCAAATTTTTAACGGAAAACAAAATTGCGTGTATTGTCCATAAAGTTTAACATGCTTTATGACAATAAAGTTTTAATAATAAAGAACATATTTTGTTGCACGTTAGAAAAAAACAACCGGTTTACATTTACCTTTAACATGGCAGGCAGTTATTAAAACTTCAATTAATCTACTACCACGACGAAATGACCACAAAGTTAATAGTTTAGTAATAAAAATAAAATTAAAGTTATTTAACTGAATATTTTCAAAAAATTTGTATTAGCATTGTACTTAAACGTATAATTTATGTGTTGAATTTAAATACGTATAATGTGCGTAAAATTTTAAACTTAATTGATTTGGAAATTTAATACATTGCTAATATTTTGGTTGTCTATGGTTACAATGTATTAAAGCCATCACAAATCTCATTGCATTGTTTTTTTTTTTTTTTTTTAAATAAAAAAAAAAATTGTATTAACTGTATTTTTTGCAGAATTTTATAAGTGTAAAAATGGAAGAAATTAGAAAAACATGTGATTTTAAAAGAAGAATCGAAATGTCTCGAAAGGCTGATGATGAGCCCAAAGAAGGATCTACGGCAGAATCTTCTGTGAAACCGCATATGGGCATTCCTAAGGCAATATTTGTGGTGAGTAATACTTAAATCAGTACCATGACTTATTTTTTTTTTTGAATCGACCATATTTTTTTAATATCATGAAATACTTGCTTTTTTTATTAACCATTTATATCATTTTAGGGTGATGTAGATACTTTCATGGCTTCGCCCGAAAATAATAATAATGCGGATTTAGTTCTTAAAAGATTTGATGAGCAACATAGTAAATACAAATTCATGGAATTTAATTTAGCCGCAAAAAAGAGAAAGTTAAAAAATCAAATATTTGATTTTCAAAAATCAATCGATATGATTCAAATCCTTGCAACGCATAAAAATAAAAAAGAAAATTTAGACACACAGTTTTTGTTGTCGGAGCAAGTTTACATGAAAGCTACCATACCTCCCACTGATACAGTTTTATTGTGGCTGGGTGCTAATGTTATGTTAGAATTCGAATTGGAAGAAGCAAAATTGCTTTTGTTAAAAAATCTTGCAGCAGCCAAAAAAAGTTTAGGAATTGTAGAGAGTGATTTAGATTTTTTGAGAGATCAATTTACAACAACTGAAGTTAATAGAGCAAGAGTTTTCAATTGGGATGTCAAAAGAAATAAAGCTGCAAAGCCCTAAAGAAATTCAGTTTTTAAATAATGAAAAACCTTGTTTTAATAAACATAAAAAACACAACACATAATTATAAAATGGCAATGTTTATCACTAAAACTTTAATAATAAACTTTATTATTAATTTTGTTACTTTAATTAATTACATTTTTATAATAATTTGCAAATATTAATAAGTAACAAAATTGAGTTCAGAAATATAATTCAAAGCATGAAACTATAATTTCTATTTACAATTTGTTATTATCAATAGAATTAAATTTGTTTTGTAAACCCTATTACTGCTTACATCAATTTTATTTAATTATAAATAAAGAAATTCTGTTCTTCGACTAATGTAATCAACAAGTATTTTGTTATCGAGATTTAGAAAATTATTTAATTTAAATTGATAGCATGGTTAGAAATTAATTTTTTCATGTAAATAAAAATTTTTTATTCTAAAAACATCTAATAAAAAAAAAAAAGGAAGATTTTTATGAACTAGGCAATACCTAAGAATTAATTTATTTAATATATGAATAACTCATTTATGATTATATTCGATAAATATTTAAAATTTAATTAATTTGTGGGGAGTAAAATTATCGAATTGATAATAAATATGAATTCATTTTTGTTTTATTTTTAAAATAAAAATACTAAATTTCATTTTGAAAAAATTTTTTTTTTTTCAATTTTACTGTTTTTCAATTATTAATTTATGATTTTTCCAAGTCTGCCATGTTTGAAAAATTGAATTACTATTTATAATTATTTTTATAAGCACTTGTGTTCATTTTCAAAATTTTAGTAAATTTAACAAATAAATTCTTTTAAAATTAAATTTTTTTTTGGATCAAAATCAGGCCAATGGAACACAAGGTAAATATTTATTTAAATGTTTATTAATATATTATAAAAAAAATTTATTGAATCCAGGGTTTTTTATTATTATTATTATTTTTAAACTTTATACGTACCGATGGAAAAATAATTTTTTACGTTATGAAAATTTATTGCGTACTATTAAAATTATTAATAATTATTAACTCATTAGTTTTATTTTATTAAATAAAAAAATAAATAAACAATGTTAAAAATTTATTTCAACAATTAAAAATTAATAAAATAACGCTGACTATTTTGATTTTATTTTATTTATTTTTGTTACATTTCCTTCCTCGACATATAAATAAAATCATTATTATTATTTCGTATTCAAAAAAAAGGCATAATAAATATTTATTTATTTTTTATTTATTTAAGCACAAAATTCAAATTTCAAAATTAATAAAGTATAATCACGAAACAGCACCGGAATCAACATTAAAAGCTCCTCCTCCAACTCCCTGCGGTTCTGTTAAACAAAGATCAGGATCGGTACCTGATGTACGAATTGTCAAAAGAGAAGTACTCCTTTCAACAAGTCCGTATTACAGACTACCTACGTTAAACATTTCCCAGTCACATCCTAAACCTTGGACGAGGCATATTTTAGGTTTCAATGGAAAACGATCGACTTCTGATCATTCTATAGCCAACATAACGGATAAGTCGATACCTTGGACGGTATTTTGTATGAAATCTTGCACTAGCAATCTCTTACATTCAGTTAGACAAAGATTATTAAATTTGTAATTAATTGTCACATGTTTATTTAGACTTTAAGAACCTTTTGAAAGTCAATAAAAAAAAAAATAGTAATAATTTATTTATTTTTACCTCTATATGAAAATATGAGGATTCTATTTTAAAATCTAAATGAAAAAAAAATTTTATAGTTTTTTTTTTATTTTTGATTTACTTTCATCTTCTGATATTTTACTTTCTCTTTTTCCAAGCCAATTTTTTAAAAAATTCATGGAAGCATCCTTTCCTTTTTTTTGATTGTTACATTCCCTTTGAAAAATAATTGTTTGTTTAAACTAACATGTGCAAGTATCATGTGTGTGTGTGTGTGTGTGTGTGTTTGTGTGTACATTAAACAAAATTAATTTTAAAAAAAACAAAACTTACCCTTTTTGTTTTATACATGTTAAATCTTTATTTGATGTAAAATTTACGGTTGATGAAACTGAGTACCAAATAACTTTTTCAAAATGGCTTAAACATTGCAATGCTTGATTTGAATCAAAATTTTTATTATCCAACCATATATGAAGTTGTTCATCTGTTTCAATAAATGCTGGCATTCTCATATGTAACCAAGATAATTTAGTACTGGCTTCTTTAGTAATTATTGTAAAGCTGATTATTTCATCTTCAGGCTGAAAAAAAAAAAAAAAAAAATGATTTACCATAAAACAATTCTTAAGAATGACAAGAATATGTGTAATGTTTTTTATTTAAAATTGTTTAAGTGTGATACTTACATTTTGATTGTGCCTTTCAAAAAGACCTGCTAATTTAAGAGGTTTAAAAGTTTTTTCATTTTGAAAATCATCCCCCATGTTCCATGTACTTGGATCATCAATTAAAACATTATCTGGTTGTGGAGCATGAATAAAATATGGTTTTTTCTTTTGTTTTCCTTCATTTTTCCATTCAAAGAATCCATTACATATTACAATACATCTTTGTCCTTTTTCTAACAATGGCCAGTATAATTTTGATGTTTTAATATTTTCAATTCTACAATTTATCGTTGAGTATTTACTAGGTACATCTGCCTGATTAAACAAACTAAGGAACTGACTTATGTTTATAATTGAATGAAAAATTAATACAACACAAAAATACAAGTTGTAATACTTTAGACCATGAAGGAATCAATCCAAATATTGTCGGTACGATTACTCTGCAATCAATATTAAAATGATTTCCCGACATCAAAACAGGCGCTAAATCAGTTGGACATATATTATAAGATGGACTAAATTTTTTACCAGAATTGTTTACGTCCTTCCAAACAGGTTTCTGAGTCTGATCATTTTCTGGATTTTTATAACAACAACAATTAATTACTTCCTTAGGTTCAAGTCCACTGAAAATAATATCATTAATTATAAAAATTTTGTTAATTATTTTATTTTCAAACGTGGAATTATAAAAATAATTAATAAATAATCACTCCTACCATGCTAATCTTCCACACATAATTCCCTGTTCTCCCCCAAAAAAATTATTTCGTTTTAAAAACTCATAAATCAAACTTTACTTCGGAATAGAAATCAAACGTTTAAAATTTTTAGAATGTGTAAAGATCATAGAGTAAAAAAATTTCCGATCGTAACCGTTAACAAAATTTCAGGGCCTTAAATTAACAAAAAATTTTGAAAATTCCATCATAGAGAAAAATAAAATTTTGAAAAATTTTTTTTTTTTAACTTTTAGTGATATTTTTATGAGTCAAAATAATTTAAAATCTTTTTCCGTTATAATAATTTGATGTAAGGTACGCCATAATTGATCAAGTGTAAGTATTTTAAAAGGAAAGTTTCAAGATATAAATGATTATTTAATTAACTTTCTCCTAATATATATATAAATATACATTTGTTTAAAATTGAATATTTTAAATATTTTAAAATATTATTAAATTTTATTTTAAAAAATTTTTTTTCTTTTTTAATTACAAATTTTCATCAGGGGGAAAAACGAAAAAAAAAAAAAAACAATAATTGAATCAGTGGAAATTCCATACAGGTAGGAAATGAATGACCTGTTATGTACCTGTTATTACTCAATACACATTCATTCAATGCAAAATTATTTAATCCAACTCACCGTGGACGAAATCGGTTAAGTCATGTATTATATCAGTGTGCCTATTCTCTTTGACAGTTTATAACGTTCTTCAATAATAATAATAATAATAATAATAATAATGTTTTATACAAATTTCTTTGGTGAGTTTTTTTTTTATTTTTTTAAATATTTTTTTTTTATATTTTTCTATATTAAAAATTACTAATTTTCTTTTAAATTTCCCAAAAAAAAAAAAAAACTAGCATTTTTTAAAATCCATTCTAAAAAAAATTATGTAATATAATTATTACACAAAAAAAAAATCTATTTGACTTTTTGACATTAAGAACTCTGAAAAAAAAACTTTTATTATTGTTGATTTAAAAAAAAAACAATGGATAAAAAAATTAGGACATGAAAAATAAGTAAAATATTTCTTTTTTTGGCAACCTTGTACTGATAATACGAAGGCGATTTCTTGCTTTCACTTATTTAAACTTTGCACAAGTTATATAATTTCCCTAGATAATTTTTTTTTTTTGTTTATTTAAATTTTTTTTTCAAATTTATATTATTATGGTAAATAGAAAAACCTACTACAGTGATTATTGTAACGGTTATTTTGAAAACTGTTATAAAAAGGTAATATAAACTAAAACTTTTGTTTTTTTTTTTTTTAGGAAAAATAACTTTTCTCCTCCTATCAATACATTATTCTTATCAAAATGTTCACGCCGAAGTCGATTTGGTAACAAAATTAAGTAATAATTGGATTCCAATGATAATAAAAGAAATTTCTCAACATAGCGAAAATGTTGTTGCCAGCCCTTATGGACTCATGTCAAATCTTGCTATGATTTTTGAAGCAACAAATGATAAAACGAGAGAAGAATTTTTAAAAACTTTAAATATATCTGGAAATGATGTTTCCGGATTGAGAAAAGGTTTCAAAGCCTATTGTAGTTTGTTTTTGGTAAAAATTAATTTATTTTTTCTTTCCCAATGCCAAAATTAATCGCATGTACTCGCATTAATTATTCGTTTGTTTTTATGTTTAATTTGTTAACAGAAATATTCAAATGACCCCGAGGCGGCGGGTTCTTTCAATTCCGCAACATTGACAAGTTCCTTCAAGCTAAATGCAACGTATAAAGACATACTTGAAAAATATTATTGTGCCAATACGATAGAAAATCGCGAGGGTACGGCAAACACTCTGGAATTAAGCAGCATAACTGGAGTTATGAGTCACTGGAAAGATTACGAAAAATTAGCCGTTTATACATTTTTGTCACACAGACCTAAAATTGCATTTAAAAAAAAAGATGGTTCGATCGTGGGTGTACCAATGATTCCACAAGTTGGCGTTTTAAAAACGGGCAGATGGGAAAATTCGAATGTTTTTTTGATTCCGCTTCAGGTACACAACAGTATAATAAATATTTTTTTTTAACAAAATTTCTTTTTATTCTAAATTATTGTTATTTTTTTAGGCGAAACTCGTTAACTTACTCATAATCATGCCAGACGAAGTTGATAAAGTCGATATCGTTGTAAAAAAATTAATCGAATTTAAAATACCTGTACTCGTGCAATCGTTAGAAAAACGAGAAATGGAATTATTCATACCTCAGATAACGATTGTTAATAAAAATTTTAACATGACGTCAATGTTGATTCGTAACGGTTTAAGTAAAATTTTCGATTCGAATAAAGCAAATTTAAGCAAAGCTTCTCCTCTTCAACCTGGAAAAAATGGCTCCATTCATTTGAGTAAAATTGAACAAAATGCTTTTTTTTCAACTTCTTTTGTCGCCGTTAATTCCGTTTCGGGAATATCTTCATCTTTGGGTTATTATATTTTCTTATTTAAAGCTTTTCCAACATTATTTTCCAATATGGATGACAATAATATTTTTTTCTTTTTTCCAACAGGAACGAATAAGAGACGTAAAAGGGATGTGAAATCATTTTATATAAATCAACCATTTTTATTTTTCATATTGCAAATCGACACACAATTGGCATTATTAAGCGGAAAAGTTGAAAATCCTTCCATCGTTCCAATGTAAAGTGTCACACGAAAACGGAATTTATTAAAGTTGACGCCATTTTGTTTTTTTTTTTTTTTTTTGTAAACACGCGCGTTCGTCGTTTGTTTTCTGTCGTTTTAATTACTCAAAAAAAA